GTGCATTTCAAACCGTCGCACTTTTTTGTGCATTTCAAACCCTCGCACTGTTTTGTGCATTTCAAACCGTCGCACTGTTTTGTGCGTTTCAAACCCTCGCACTGTTTTGTGCATTTCAAGCCCTCGCACTGTTTTGTGCATTTCAAACCGTCGCACTGTTTTGTGCATTTCAAACTTGCGCATTGTTTTGTGCATTTCAAATCGTCACGCTGTTTTGTGCAATGCATTCCGTTGCGTGGTTTTGCGCATCTCATTGCATGTTCATTACATTACCTGCGTAGACCGCATGTTTGTAATCTATTTCATCTTGCGTAGACCGCATGTTTTGATTGCGTAGACCGCATGATTATCTAATTTCATTACCTGCGTAGACCGCATGTTTTGATTGCGTAGACCGCATGATTATTTAATTTCATTACCTGCGTAGACCGCATGTTTTGATTGCGTAGACCGCATGATTAGTTAAATTCATTACCTGCGTAGACTGCATGTTTTGATTGCGTAGACCGCATGATTAGTTAATTTCATTACCTGCGTAGACCGCATGTTTTGATTGCGTAGACCGCATGATTATTTAATTTCATTACCTGCGTAGACCGCATGTTTTGATTGTGTAGACCGCATGATTATTTAATTTCATTACCTGCGTAGACCGCATGTTTTGATTACGTAGACCGCCTGATTATCTAATTTCTTTACCTGCGTAGACCGCATGTATTGCTTGCGTAGACCGCATTTATTGTTCAATTTCTTTACCTGCGTAGACCGCATGTATTGCTTGCGTAGACCGCATAATTGTTCAATTTCATTACTTGCGTAGACCGCATGATTATTTAATTTCATTACTTGCGTAGACCGCATGTATTACCTGCGTAGACCGCATGTTTTGCCTGCGTAGACCACATTATTGTTCAATTTCTTTACCTGCGTAGACCGCATATAGTGCTTGCGTAGACCGCATAATTGTTCAATTTCATTACTTGTGTAGACCGCATATTTGTTAATTTCATTACCTGCGTAGACCGCATGCTTATGATCAATTTCGTTGCCTGCGTAGACCGCATGCTCCATTTACATGTTTGTATTTTCATGGCATTGTCATGCTCCCCACTTGCTTTGCGCTGTCACGCATTTCGAGTACACAACTATTCTTGCATTGTCATGCATATTGCTAACAATATTGTACCTGTTAAGTTTGTTTTCTTTGCAGGCACGATATTGTATGTACGGTTCATTTGAGGTTGGTGCAACCAGACGAGCCGCACAGGTATTGTATCTCCCGAGTGAGACGTATTGAGAATTGCATAATTCTCTTACATCCTTCGTGCATTGTCTTGCATCTTGCCTCTGCCTTTGGGCGCATACCTTGTTTGTCTTGTATGTTTGTCTAAGTCTTCGGCCTTGTCAAAAATGGGTCGTCTCTGGGCTTTGACATTCACTCCCGTCATTGTTATGACTTTCGAGTTCTGTCAAAGAGGGGCAACTGTAGACACCCCATTTTTGACCGTCCTCAAGACTTGGACGTCACCGTTTGAACACTCGGTGATCATCCATGTTTGTGTTCGTTCGGAGTTCCCGGAGGTCTCGGCTACGCGCCTTGTCTCAGGATCTCCGAACTCGACTGTTTAGTGTCTGCTTTTGCACCAAAAACTTGTGTCTTGCCTTGGAAGGGCAGGGTAGGGCTTGTGGACCATCCCCACCCACCACCGGCAGTGGCTAGAGGCCACCGGCTGGTTTTTGCTGCCACCGGCAATGTATATTGCCGGCCGGCACATTTTGTTACCGGTCAGCACTTTTTAGTGCCGATCGGCACTATTTTTGGCCAAGATGGCATTTTTGGCCGACCGACTACTGTGCATCTGCTTTTGCAGATATTTTAAGACAGCTGTCTTGCTTTTGCTCCCCTCCATACACGTGTATGGAGGGATCTCCCTCTTGCAAAGCTTGTCTTGTAAGCTTTACAAGACAAATATAGAGATATAAGCTTGTCTTGTAAGCTTTACAAGACAAGAAGTTCCATAAAGGGAGGGGCTTGTCTCTTGGCTTAAAAGGGGAGAGACTTGAGATATTTTGAGAGCTTAGACAGCCATTGTTGAGCTCTGGTTCTAGGGTTTGAGTTACATACACACTCTATCTCTCTTTCCCTCTCTTTTGTGCTCTAGGTGTTTTGTGTCTTACTATTGCACACAAACACCTAGTGTTTCACCTTGGTCTAGCTACTGAGGTTCTAAGGGACTGAGTTTGAAGTTTTGGTGTTGGATTCAAGCCAAAGAAGGCCATTGGAGCACCATTGTTGAAGGGGTCATCAAGGGTAAGAAACTAACACCTTTATTCCCCATTTTTGCACTTTATTTCTACGTGTCTTAAATTCATTTTTGAGCTTGGTGTATAACATAAAAAAGTTCTGTTTTTAAGCCCTCTTGGTTGTTTGTTAAGAGTGTTTTGTGGTTTGGGTAAGTTTGAACCCTCTTAGGCCTTGAAAGGCCTCATTTTGTGCTATTTTGTGCAAGTTTCGAGACTTTGGTGTTTGGGCCTCTTCACCACTGAAATCTTGAGGGATTTCAGTGGGGAAGATGGTGCCTTGAAGTCTCTAGAAGGAGAGGGCCACCCCCTCTCCTTGTTGTCCTTGAAAAGGTCATGTTTTGGCCCCTAAAGGGAGCCTATGTTTGAGTGTGTGTTGAGCATGTATAGGCTGTTTTTCATGCTTATATATCCATAATATAACATGATTTTAAATTGGTTTTGGTACTCCATGCATGCTTAGAATAGTTGCCATGTAATGCCTTATTTATGCCTCAATGTGCTTTAGGTTGTTAGCCTTTGTTGGAGCATGTTTTAGGCTTAGATTTGTGAAGGTTTTGTGCCTATCTCGACATGTTTTAGGTCTGTCCATAAGTGTTTGGGTTGATTTTGGCATGCTTAGTATAGCTCCTTTGCATTCCGGCTTGTTAGCCTTGAGTATGTGCATGTATAGCATGACATCTTTGCATCGATTTGGTGATTTGGGGCCACCCTACATGTTATTTCAGTCCCATTTCCATGCTTGTTTGATTGCCTTGCATGCCTCTTTAATGCTTTGGAAGCATGTGTTGCATGTTCCATGTTTTGGCCATTGTGCATGCCTTTGAGATTGAGCCGCTTAGATGCCATCTAAGTAGTCATTTAGCCTTGTTTTAACATGCTAAAAATCTGTTTTTAGTTGTTTAATGCATGCCATGGTTGTTATGCTAAATGTGCTTCAAGCCCCTTCGACTTGCTCCAAGCACTTAGGCCATTTGTTGTATGTTTAGTTTGACTTGTTGCTTGGTTTGGCACCTTGTATTAGCATGATTTTCAGAGCTTATGTTGCATGCTTTTAGTCCATGATTACCTTCTTTCAAATGTGTTTGAGAGTTATCCAAGTTGTGCCTAAGTGTTGGCACTTAATCATATGCATGTGTGCATGTGTTTTGGTCTCTTGCTTTGGTCATTTTAGCCACTGTTTTAGGCCTTATTAGAGCTGCCTAAACCATGCCTTAGACCACCTTTCCATTGGTATGAATTGCCTCATGTTTGCTTGTATGCTTGCATAAGTGCCTTGCCATGCCATGTTGCATCCTTAGCTTGTATGCCTAGGTTGCATCACATCTTGCATGCATGCCTTGTTCCTTGAATTGGTGATGGGAATTGGGCCTTGTTTTGCTTGATTGATTTGCATTTCATTTGACATGAAAGTTGCATACTTGATTCCTTGGGCCATCATGCATGGAAATGCGTGATTGGTGGTCCGAGAATCGAGGCACATGTCCTTTTGAGTCACAACCATGATAAGGGACATGAATGATGCATACATGCCTTGAATTGTGCTGCCATGCTTTGCCTTGCCCTCTGTTGCTGTCATTTGCAGATTCTGCAGGAACACTCTACCGACCGGCAGTGTAAGATGCCGACCGGCAACAATTCATCTGCTGACAGCTTCATTTTGTGCCGATGGCCACACACCACTGCCGGTGGTAATTCCACTCAGCCGGTGGCACTCCCCAATGTCCAGGAATGCAGCCCTGAGGTTTTGGCAGCCTCTAGAGGAGTGAAGGAAGGAAAACAGAGGCA